CTAGGAAGTTAAGGCTGGGCATCAGGTTCCGAGCGGACTACTTCAGCATATTATGATTCCTGAATGGAAGTGGGATCGTATCACCATGGACTTTGTTGTGGGGCTGCCTTTGTCGCCTCGCAAGAACAATACAGTTTGGGTCATCGTGGACCAATAGACTAGGTCCGCCCATTTTCTTCCAATACGATGAATTTTCTCCCTACAGTCTGGCAGAGCTGTACATCCGCGAGATCATACGGTTACATGGAGTCCCTTCATCTATCATCTCGGACCGCGATCCTCATTTCACATCTCAGCTTTGGAAGAGCCTACAGAAAGTCTTGGGCACTGATCTTCATTTTAGTACGACCTTTCGCCCGCAAATGGATGGTCAGTCCGAGAGAGTTATCTAGATCCTCGGGGATATGATGTGTGCGTGCGCGATCGACTTCGGGGATGGCTGAGAGCATTATCTACCGTTGATGGAGTTCGCGTACAACAATAGTTATCAGGCTAGCACCGGTATGGCGCCGTACGAGGCTCTGTATGGTAGGCTGTGCCGGACTCCTACTTGTTTGACTGAGCTCAGCGAGAGGAAGTTGGAAGGACTGGCTGTGAGACCGATGAGAAGGTCCAGGTGATTAAGGACCAACCTAAGGTGGTTTCGGACCAATAGAAGTCCTATGCCGATCTTAAGAGGCGCGACATCGAGTATGCAGTTGGGGATAAGGTTTTCTTGAAGGTCTCTCCTGGGAAGAAAGTCTTACGTTTTGGCAAGAAGGGACAGCTCAGTCCAAGGTTCATAGGCCCATACCCAATCACTAAACGTGTGAGACCCGTAGCTTACACACTTGAGCTACCACCTGAGCTGAGCAAGATTCACAACGTGTTCCACGTGTCTATGCTTCGAAAATATCGGTCAGATCCCTCTCACGTGATTCCAGCAAATACTCGATGAGAATCTCACATACAAAGAGGAGCCGGTTGAGATTCTACCTCACGTAACAGACGCTCCCTCACGGCCCCACCTGGTACCACCAAACGACTCCGACAAAACAAGATTCCATCAGCCCCCACGGTGAACTCTTGTTTATCCTCCTTAGAGACAAGGTCGCGGGTCTTGCAGAAAAACTCATCAGCCAACTACGTGCTGCGTATCTCCCCATAAAAGGTCGGCCGTACGAGCAATTCAACAATTAACTTACGGCTCAAGGCATTAGCAACCACATTAACCTTGCCTGGATGGTACTCAATAGTGAAGTCATAATTCTTTAGCAACTCCAGCCAACGTCTCTGTCTTAAGTTCAAATCCTTATGCGTCAACAGATATCTCAAGCTCTTATGGTCAGTGAAGATGGAAATCATTTCTCCGAATACGTAATGTTGCCAAATATTCAGGGCAAAAACAACGGCTCCTAACTCTAAGCCGTGCATAAAATAGTTACCCTCGTGGGATTTTAGCTGTCTTGAGGCGTAAGCGACCACCTTGCCATCCTACATAAGTACACAACCCAAACCACAAAGAGATGCATCACTGTAAATCGTGTACTCACGACCTGGTTCCGGTTGGATCAGCACCGGGGCTTTAGTCAAACACTCCTTCAGGCGATCAAAGCTACTCTGGCACGTGTCCGTCCATGCAAACCTCACATCCTTCCGTAGAAGTTTAGTCAGAGGAGAAGCAATCGCGAGAAGTCTTTCACGAACCGGTGATAGTACCTTGCTAGTCCAAGGAAGCTCCTCACTTCCCTAGCATTACGGGGAACCTTCCAGTCAACTATAGAAGAAATCTTACTCAGGTCAACCTTCACCCCTTCAGCGGAGATCACGTGACCCAAGAAACTCACCTCCTCGAGCCAAAATTCACACTTGGATAACTTTTCGTAGAGTTTCTGCTTCCTCAGGATGGTTAGTACCTTTTACAACTGGTGCACGTGCTCCTCGGCATTCTTTGAGTAAACGAGGATGTCATCGATGAAGAATACCACAAATTGATCCAAGTACGGACGAAAGATGCTATTCATTAGATCCATAAAGATAGCAGGGGCATTAGTGAGTACAAATGACATTATGGTGAACTCATAATGTCCGTAACGCGTCGTGAAAGCTGTGTTCAGTATGTCTTCCTTCTTCACTGGAATCTGATGATATCTAGACCTTAAATTAATCCTCGAGAACACCTTGGCTCCACTTAGATGATCAAACAAATCATCAATGCCCGTTTTAGAAAATTCTAAATGTATTTTATGCACATTTATCACTATTATGTTTATATAGCAATTTGGGTCATTATTTATATTTTAATCAACAAATGCATTCTTTTGACTATTCTTTTACTTCACTATTTTATTGTCTCATTTACCTTGATGTAGGTCTTAAAAAGTTGTTTTACGAAGCATGAAAAGGCTCGATGACGATGTCAAGTTAGATCCCGGGGGCTGTCAAGAATTATATGAAGAATTGAAATGGGCCATGTCACACAAGACTTGACCGAATAGACCAAGGACAGCAGCCCATTACACAGCCCAATTCAGCGGATAAACATTCTCGAATGGTCCAAACAAAGCCAAAGAGAAAAAAAACCGCTCCATTCTTGGATTACTAGCGGCGGAACAACAGAGTATAGGATTTGGACTCAGATGTTGAGTCCTAATCTGAGAAGAACTCAATTGCAACCTACTCCCGGCTTAGGGTCCGTTCCGTAGGACTTATTTTTTCTACTTATTTCTTATTCTTATTAAAATTAGATCAGATCAGACCAGACCTAATCAGATCAGATCAGATCCAATCAGATCAGATCAGACTCAATCAGATCAGATCAGATCCAATCAGCTCAGATCAGATTCAATCAGATCAGATCAGATCCAATCAGATCAGATCAGATCCAATCAGATCAGACCAGATCCAATCAGATCAGATCAGACCAGATCAAATCCAATAATATCAAATCAAGAAAAAATATAAAAGATAATATTTATATTTTTCAAGGATTAAATAATAATTACTATTATTTGATTAAATCACATTACTTTAATTAAAACAACACACACCTAAATTTTAATTAATATTATAATTTTAAATATTATTGTTGTATTATTATTATTATTGTTATTATTATTATTATTATTATTATTATTATTTTTGTTGTTGTTGTTGTTGTTGTTGTTGTTTAGCATGTAGGATAGAAATGATGCATGGAAGCAATGTTAAAGCTTAAAAAGTTTAATTTTTCATACTTTAAAAAGAGTTATTTTAAAATACTTGTTTATAAAATAATTATACAAAACATAGTTTTTAAAACTATAAATATTTTATACTTAAAAAGACTTACTTTTAAACTTTAAGATGGTAATACTCAAGGGTGAGTTTATGACAAAATTGATAGAAGTGAAAATGATATTAGTGTTTAAAATTTTATATGATCTTTAATTTATAACATGAAATATATTATTATGTAATGTGTATATAGAATGTGATAATTTTGTAGAATAACATCAATATTTTCTAATATTTGTTTATTTTAATACCGATTACTCCCTCCGTCCTAAAACTTTCTTCCCAGAGCACTATTCCAACTTCACGGGAATTTATATTTATTTGTGTTTTTTCATGGCCTATATGATAAAATAAAATATTCTTGTCACCACTTGTTTTTTTGAACTTTTGATGTAGTTTTTAAATATGTATGTTTTATTTTTTATTTCTATACCAATATTTAAATAAAACAGATTGAAAAAGCTTGGGATTTTTCTTCGTTTTGCGCAACGGGAAGAAAGATATAGGACGGAGGGAGTATTTAGTTTTCACAAAAATTAAAAAAGTTGTGATATTGAAAAGATGTTTAATATTTTAAAAAAAAGTTTAAACATATAATGATTAGTTGATTTTCTTATTTTACTTTTTTTATGTATATATATGAATTGTAATACTTTAAAACTATTAAATTTTGTAATAATTTTAAGTTTAATTTAAATCAAATTTAAATTCATTTACACCGGATCTAATTAGAGAAAATCAGATCTAATCAGATCAGATCCAATCAGATCAGATCAGACCCAATCAGATCAGATCAGACCCAATCAGATCAGATCAGATCCAATCAGATTAGATTAGACCCAATCAGATCAGATCAGATCAGAACTTCAAAAATTCAGATCAGATTCAATCAGATCAGGCTTAAGGAACAGAGCCTTAATCGCACAAGCGTACAAAGCTGTAACTCAGGTTCTTGAGTCCTAATTCAAGAAGGGTGATTTCCAGCGCCTATAAGGAGATCGCAAACGGCAGCAAAAGGGACGGGGGAAAACACCCGAAGGCAGCAGCTAATTTCGAGGAAGGAGACTTCAGGGTATGCCCCTGTGGGGGTCTGGATTTCGGTCCAGATCCTCTTGTTCCATCTTCCTGATGTTATTCTTGTTGGGACTGCGCGTGCCCTCACCCCAACCCCGCATTAGTATGATATTGTCCGCTCTGGGCCAAGCCCTCACGGATTTGTTTTTGGGCACCTCCCAAAAGGCCTCATACTAATGGGGTTGGGTGAACCTATATATTTTGGTCCATTTTTATTTCTCCCTCCGGTGTGGGACTTGGAGGAATCCCAACAAACCTCCCCTCATCCAAGGACCACACAACTTCCGACCTCCCCTCCAGCGGTAATCCTTTTTTTTTCTCTTTATCTGCTAACCATCTTGCACCGCCGCACACTCTTTGCGGGACACGCCGCCCGACCTCCTGTCGGGAAGACTTTCGACGCAAGGCTCGAACCGCAGATCTTTCCTTCGCTGGGCTACACCATTTGATCCACCAAATCATCTTGTACCGCCGTGGCTATAACTTCACGGGACGCGCCGCCCGACCTCCTCTCGTCGGGAAGACTTTC